AATCAAACACTTGCTGTTTATCTTGGCAATTTGATAGATAAAACCTACACTGGGATTTATCATGTGAATATAAGCATTCATTTTTACCCTGCTGAAGAGAAATTGAATTCTTTTGAGCAAAAGTTGGATAATTTGGCATCTGGGTACCATTCTTGGGCTGATTTGATTTTACCCATTTCGAGAAATCTGCCTTTGAATGATGGATTGTGGTTTGAAGTTCAGAATTCAAATGATACGGAGTTGAAGAAGTTCAAGATTCCACAAAATGCTTATAGGGCTGTGTTGGAGGTGTATGTTTCATTTCATGAGAATGATGAATTTTGGTATTCAAATCTTCCTAATGAGTACATAGCTGCAAACAACCTTAGCAGTACACCTGGAAATGGACCTTTTAGGGAGGTTGTGGTCAGTCTAGATGGTGAGGTTGTTGGTGCAGTCTGGCCTTTTACTGTGATTTTCACTGGAGGGATCAATCCTCTTTTGTGGAGACCGATTACTGCAATTGGCTCATTCGATCTTCCGACTTATGATATCGAAATTACACCATTTTTAGGGAAGATATTAGATGGGAAGAGCCACAAGTTTGGGTTTAATGTTACAAATGCCTTAAATGTTTGGTACATTGATGCAAATTTGCATCTTTGGTTGGACAAACAGAGCACAAAAACTGAAGGAAAGCTTTTTAAACATAGTAGCTTGCCCCTTGCTGTTTCCCTGGTTTCAGATTTCAAGGGTTTAAATGGCACATTTTTGACAAGGACAAGCAGGTCCGTGTCATCAACTGGATGGGTGAAGTCTTCCTATGGGAATATCACAACCCGTTCAATTCAAGACTTCTATTACAGTAATTCAATGGTCCTGGGGAAAGATGGTAATATGCAGATAGTCAACCAGAAGATCATTTTCAATGACTCAGTTCATATTAAGCTGCCATCCTCCTATGTTCACTCACTGACATCCCACAAAACATTTCCACTTTATTTGTACACTGACTACTTAGGACAAGGAAATGGAACTTATTTATTGATTACAAATGTGGACTTGGGATTTATTGAGAAGAAGTCTGGTTTGGGATTCTCGAACAGCTCTCTCAGAAATCTGCAGAGTGCTGAGGGCAATATGGTTGTGAAAAACAATTTGGTTGTGAGTGGATTGGGGAGCACTCAGCAAGTCTACAGATACGATGGTGGTAAATTCTGTTACTTCAGAAATATAAGCAGCTCAAACTACACAATACTCTATGACAAGGTGGGGAGCAAATGCAAAAAAAAATCGTTGTCCAATTGGGATTTTGTCTTAAGCAGACTGTGGCCTTTTGGTGCTCGAATGAATCTTGCTGGTCTCCGATTTACATGAGAACAATGAGGAAAGTCTAGCCCATCCACGTTCATGCATCTTCCAGTTTTGGTGGTACCTCAAATAAATATGTGTATTCTGTACTCAATTTCATTTTGTGGGGATTTTTCTAGATTGTAGTTGAGGTATCTGCACCCAAAGTGATTCTGGTTTTACTTGGATTTGGAATGATTTCTAAAAAGTGGATCAGGTCAGCTTGTGCTATGTCAGTATAATCAAAGTTTATGCAGAAAATTATAAACCATTATTTTTAGAATCTAACTCCTCTGTTTGTTTTCGCATTTCTTGGCTTTTAAATTTTTAATATGATCCATGCATTAAAAATCCAAGGGGTATCCTCTATCTGCTATATCTGTGAGTTCTATTAAAATTTTGAACCGATTTTTGTGTGGACTTATCTCTGCAGAGGTCCTTCTACTTCCTTGATTTCTTTTAATTTCTTCTGGTTTGAGTCAATTTACCCTCCAATTTTCGGTCGTGTGTTTGTTTAATCTGCGTCTGTGAAATAACTCATTGACCTCCAACAAACCCCGTAAAACAGAGCCTATTAATTCATGCTATATTACCTTGATTTAATGTTCAAGTTTCATATAAACACGCAAATGCAATTAAAATCCAAATAATAATCACCACATTGAAACAAACTCCTTGAGCTAATTTTTGTTCCCGACGAATACTAGTACATGATTATTCTGAACAAACAATATTTAAAGCCAAAATTTATTACAAAAAGCAGCAATATTCTGTTGCTGATGTGATTCATAGATACGTACATCACCATTCATCATTCAATTAAGTATGAAGGGGTGAATACCCTATGATTTATACATCATTCTCTATCTTGGATGTGAAGATGGCATAGGTGAGCTAATATCAGGCAACAGCTTTTGTACTACAAGCAGCAGGATCAACATGGCCAGCCACAGCAGGCTTCACGTTTTTACATCTAAATTGAGTCTCCAAACGGTCATCCCCTTCGACGATAACTCTCATGTCGATAAACCTGATGTCCTTACATGCGTCGGGAGCAGTGCCACACTCAAGAATAACGATACGAGGGTCCACGGAAGTGCCCTTAATGTTCTTGAAGCTCACATTTTCCACCTTAATTTTGGAGGGGTTTGTCGTTCGGCACTGTTTTGATGGGCAATGCTCCTGGTCTAATATTATAGCCATGTTCTGAAGATAGTCGAAAATAATGTCCTCAAAAACCAAATTAGAGATGGCTATATTAGCATTAGAAGCCGCCGAACTCTGGATCCTAATTGCACCCTCAGTGTGTGAGAAGGTACAGTTTCTCACCGTCACGCCCTTAACCGGCTCCTCTTTGCCAGTGTTGCCTAGGACACTCACACCAAGGCCATTGCCTTGTGAGCAGGTCATTTTTTCAATGTTGATCCCAGTGTTTCCATCTAGGATAGTGACACAGTTGTCGTGAAGGATTTTGATGTCTGTATTGATGATGTTAATGTTTGTTGACTTTTCGATCAGGATTCCCTCCCCACCTTTGATGCCAATGTCAACATCGTCCACTGTCACGTTTATTGACCGGTAAATGCCAATGTGACCGCCGACGCTATTGTTCGATGTTATGCCTTGGATGTGTGAATCCTTAACCAGAGCGAAAATTAAATTCTGCATTCAATCAAAGAAGCATTAATTAATCCCGATCGAACAGATCATAACTTCCGTCTTCATTTTGTTTGAAGAAGTTCCGAGTTCAAAACTCATGTACGATAAATAGTTGTTGAATAAACAAACAAAAAAATCAAAATTATTGAGAATGGGGATGCTTACTAGAGGCGGTTGTTCGCATTGTTTAGCTTGGGTACAATTGCCTTCAAATCCCTGGCCATCAAAAATGCCATCTCCTGAGATGAACAAGTTGTTAACCTGCGTGAAACTAATCCACGCATTACGGTGCGCACCTCCAGTTACTGACTGCTTTTTTGAAGACTGCACTGTTCCGTCAACCTTAAAGTGAATAGTTTTTGCTTTGCAGGGCCCTGCAAAATCAACTGGACCAACTATATATGTTCCTTTTGGTATCACATATCTGTTATTTTGCCTCTCACTGCAGGCTTGTGCCCATGCTTGTGTGAAAGCCTGAAAATTTACTCACGTAACAAGAAAACATTAGTTTGATGAGAAACAATTCAGTTGGCTTGTAAACTTTTTCATAACACCAAAGGTATCACATAGCACACTAAATTTTATTCACCGAATGACGCGAAAGTATTTGATTGTTCGATGAAAAAACTAAAAGTTTATTTTGTTAGAGAAAAATCTGAGTTTCAATATCATGATCGAGAGTTAGTTGTTCGTTACCTTGGTATCATCTGTCTTGCCATCACCCTTGGCTCCAAATTTAACGACATCAACACTGATAGCTTTGGCTTTGATGGCACATATCGCTACCAAGAACAAAAACCAGGTAATCCCATGAATAAATTCTGAACCCATGTTTTAGACTTGTATTTGTAAACTTTTAGCCTCTGATAATCTCAATACTGTTGGATTCAAGATCGGTCTCAAAGGGTGCATTTTATAGTGTCAAAAGGAAACTCGCCACCACAAAATTGTGAACCAAAATTTATGTGGCCCACTACTAATCTCTTAAGTCCTATTCAGGTGCTGACTTTCTTTTGTTTATTTACTTTCCTTCACGTGGATTCAATTTCCTCCAATTTTAGTTGTTATTTTTGCTTAATTTAGGCTCCTACTATTCACACAAGAAACATATGTCTTGCTTCTTTCAAGAAACTACGTTCACGGGGTAAATTTCGTTGACCTCCGGCAAATTCTGTGAATAAGAAAAAGTTTTGTTGACCCCGTACAAATTGTTTCAACAACTATTGTCCACGAGATTTGAACTCATGATCTACTTAAACAAAATAGAGACTGTTGTGTTAGTAGACCAAATGATGAATGATAATTTATTTCATATTATAATGTTTATTGGTTATTTTTTATTAGTAATTATAATATACCTACAACAATAGTTTGCATTCTAATTTTTGTATATACTCTTGATGTACTTACATATATAATAATGTACCTATTATTTTTTATGTATAAAAATCGGCCTATTATATCTGTTCGCGTCACTACACACAAATTTTGATATTGATCTTATTTAATTGTTTATAATGGTGGTTGGAGTAGTGTGGGACGGAGAGAGTATGACATAATTAGTGAAGAGAGTAGTGATACTTGGTGTGTGAAATAGGAGTAATTTTTGTATGTTCCGAGTACTGGTGGGTGAAATAGGCATCTTTTCAAAATTTTCTCTAACTAAATATACATGCATCCATACTTTCTCAACAAAAGTGGCTTCACAAAGAATATGACAAAACTGAATTTGGGAGAAGCAAGAAACCAAATATCTGATATTCTTAAGATAGTACAGATATATGCCGTGGTGTAGCACATCTGCCTTAATGTGTATGTACTTGTGCGTGGTTGTTTGTTATCCTTGTTTTTCTTAGCCAAAAAAGGTAAGTAAGCAAATGCAATGAGCAGGACTTGGCTAGACACAGCAGGCTTCACGTTTTTACATCTAAATTGAGCTTCGAAACGGTCGTCCTTGGACAGTAATTTTCACGTGGATAAACTTGGCGTCCTTGCATGCGCCGAGCGCAGTGCTGCACTCAAAGAACGACGATATGAGGGTGCACGGAGGTGTTGCAGCTCACATTTGATCCCTTAACTATGGAGGGGGATTTGGCTTGGGGCACTGCTTTGCTTGGCAGTGCTCTTGGTCTAAGATTATATGGATGTTCTGAAGATAGTCCATAACAATGTCCTCAAAAACCAAATTCTAGACGGCTATATCAACATTAGAAGCCACCAAACTCTGGATCCTATAATAGCACCCTCAGTGTGAGAAGGTACAGTTTCCCATCGTCACTCCCATAACCGGCCCCTCTGTCAGTTTTTGCCTAGGACCCCATGCCAAGCCCATTGCCGTCTGCGTGTACAGGTTATTTTTTGGACGTTGATCCCGGTGTTTTCATCTAGGATAGTGACACAGTTGTTGTTCACGACACGATTGTGATGTCTTCCCTCCCGCCAGACTCAGTGATCTCAACGTCGTCCACTGTCACATCCGTGCTCTTGTAAATGCCAATGTGAGCTTCGAAGTTATGCCTTGGATATGTACATCCTTAACCATATGCATTCTACAGACGTGTATCAAAGAAGGATTAATCTCGATCAAATAGATTTAACTCCCGTCTCCATTTTGATAGAAGAAGTTTTGAGTTCAAAACTCATGTAAGATAGTTGTTGAATATTAGTTTTTCTCGATGAACACAGAAAACTCAGTACCGAAATTGAAAGAAAATAAGAAAGTTGCTAGAACGAGCTAAAATCCTACCAGCCGTTGGATCTCATTAATTCAGATCCAACGGTTACCAGTATGGTCCCGCATTCCTCCCGCAAATGGAAAATTGCTGCAAATTACAAATCCTCCCAACTCTACATACGGTTGTCCCTGTCTCTCTCCCTCTCTATCCGAAATGGGTTTATCTGCTCCAGCCAGGCCAGCTCTCTCTCTCTCTCTCTCTCTCTCTCTCTCTCTCTCTCTCTCTCTAAATCTGGTATTTGCGTCCTTCTTGGGGCATCCCAATTCCTATCAAACTGAAATTTGGTTATTTGCAGTGTGAACAGCTCTCTGGGATGGAAGTCTTCGAGCTTGTTCGTGCAGTCTGGGGCAAGTTCTACTTGTGCTACTCTCAGTGGTTCCATGGCTTCTTCTAAAAGAAAATGTGCCCAAAAGAAAGTTTCTGTAACCTGCTCATCTTCTGGTATGCTTCATTTCCCCCTTGTTTTTTTTCAAAGAAATGTATTTACTTTTTTGGTTTTTGTGGCTCATTTTCTGTTAACTTGAAATGGTTTATTCTCCAATCTTGCTTTCTTGCATTGTAGTTCACGTTTATGTTATAATACTTTGGTTTTGATTATATTGTGAATCAATGAGCAATTCCTACTATGCAGATTCTAATTATCTGCTTAGGTGGTGAAGGTGATAAATGAGTGATAATGCCAAAAGGAAGCTGAAATTAAAAATAATACAATCTCTAGAGGGTTGATTTAGGACCAATTGAAGAAAAGGATCAGAGAAAAGGTTGTTAAGCACCGGAAAACCCCTTAGAGTGGCTGGAATTTGCCCCTCTACTGGTGCCCACTATGTGCTTGATTAAATGCCTCAAAGAGGCTATGTTCTGGAATTTTGCCTCGCATTTTCAGTGACTATGCCAGAAATTTACCCTCTTTCCCAAGGACCCTCAGAACGGCTAGAAATGGAAAGTGCACTCTCTAGAGAGAGAGATGCACAGAGAGAAAGGGAAAACCCAGAAAAAGGTTGTTAAAGATAGTTTGGAACAAGCATTTGTGATGTGGAAGCTGTCTTAGGAGTAATGTGTTTATAGAACTGCAGGGCTTTGGCAAAATATTTGTCTGGTCGGAGTGAGTGACAACTTCGTATACAATGTTTCATTTGAGAGAAAACGGTACTAAAATGTAATGAAAAGTTATAGGTGCCTGGGAGAAACATAGTTTGGAAATACCATGCATCAATGAAGTTCCTTTTTTTTATTTTATGTTCCATGAACTAGAGAGAGAAACTGTGCTGATCTCTTAATCAAGTTTTTTCATTACTCACGTCATACCTTTTAGTTGAGTTGGCATTGCTGTTATGGAGAATATATTGTTTCCCATCTGGCTTGGCTCAGGTGATAACAGGGTTAGTTGGTATTGAGGTTGATCTATGAGTCGAGGTCTAACCAATTAAAGATATATATTAGTGTGCTAATAGTTTGAATTGACCCAAGACCATGAGCCTTCTCTTCACGCATATTGAGGCATTGCCTCTTATAAAATGCTAGTGCGTATTGCAGCACATAATGTTCAACCCTGTCCTAATATTTGAACTTCGCTAGTTTGATGTTTTAGTCTCAGTAACTTCTCTTTAAAAATTGTTTTTGTTGTTAAATAAAGCTTGCATTTTAATTTTCATATTAAACTCCCCTTCCTCAACTCCCAGATCCACTCCTGGTTAAGGCTGCGAGAGGAGAGCCTGTAAGTCGGCCTCCAGCATGGATGATGCGCCAAGCAGGAAGGTATATGGCCATTTACAGAAAGCTTGCAGAGAAATATCCATCATTCAGAGAGAGGTCAGAGACAACTGATCTCATTGTGGAAATTTCTTTGCAGCCTTGGGAAGCTTTCCGTCCTGACGGAGTGATTATTTTCTCAGACATACTTACCCCTCTACCTGCATTTGGTGTGCCATTTGACATAGAAGACATTCGGGGTCCTGTGATTCAGTCACCAATTGTTTCTGAAGAGGGTTTGAAGACTTTGCATCCAATTGACTTGGATAAACTTCAGTTCGTGAGGGAATCCTTAAAGATATTGCGGCAGGAGGTGCTTATTATCTACTCACTTGCTTGAAAAAGAAGAGGAACTGTATTTGTTTGCCAAATTTACATGTCTGGTTATATTATATCAATCCCTGTATACTTGGATCTCTCAGTTATTCTTTCGTTCAGGTTGGAGGGCATGCTGCTGTTTTGGGTTTTGTAGGGGCACCTTGGACGATTGCTACATACATAGTAGAAGGGGGTTCAACTTCCACATATACAACAATAAAGAGCATGTGCCATACAGCACCACATGTATTGAGGGCTCTTCTTTCTCATTTGACGCAGGCAATATCTGACTATATTGTTTTCCAAGTAGAAGCAGGGGCTCATTGTATACAAATATTTGATTCATGGGGTGGGCAACTACCACCAAGCATGTGGGATAGCTGGTCGAAGCCATATATTCAAGAGGTGAGTGGGGAGACATATATATATTTCTCTAAATGGAATTCATTTCACGTAGGTGCATATGGAAATAAATACACTAGATAACTGCCTACACAGGTTCATGGTGTGTGTCTGTTTGAGGAATTTATTATGCTAATCTCGGCAAAGTAGCTTTTTCCTTCTGTAGACTCTGTGTCATGGTTTTCTGACTTTGCTCTGTTTCCATCTTATTTTTTGAAAGTTTGCTTCATCTCATTGTTTATTGATCAGTAATAAATTCAGCATATAATTTATCTGTATATGCCTTTTTATACCTCACACTTGCTTGGACCTTATAAAATTGCAAGAGTGGTTGTTATGCCATTACATTCTGTTATTTTTTCCTCTTTTTTTCTTTATGGGTAGGAGCCTCTTCCATTTCCTTCTGTTCACAAGGTAGTGTTCTTAAATTGCAGATCGTGAGTTCAGTTAGGAAAAGATGCCCTAAAACACCACTTGTTCTCTACATTAATGGGGATGGCGGCCTTCTTGAGCGTATGAAAGGAACTGGAGTAGATGTGATTGGGCTTGACTGGACGGTGGACATGGCAGATGGTAGAAAACGATTGGGTAGTGAGATCAGTGTACAGGGAAATGTGGACCCTGCTTACCTATTTTCTCCTCTTCCATCCCTGACTGAAGAAATTCAAAGGTTTGTTATGGGAACATCTCTGAACTTCCTTGCAACTAATTTAATTCAAAACTTGGCCTGCAACATGAACTTCCATTTGTGTGGACCATTGGCTTATTCAGTTGTAGGAAATTGCCTAAGTTTATATTGGATTAGACTTCTGTGATTTCTCACCCTGTAACTAAAAGTTGGACGGTATTACGCCTGGACAATTGGCTATCCAGATTCCAGAGAGAAGAGGGGGTGCTCGGGCAGGGAGTCCATAACCCACTTTATAGTTCAAAATTTCCACTTTGAATTCTACACATGAATGTTATTAGCTTGGCCCCATCTAAAAGATAAAAGAAAAAGAAATCCTAGCTTAACATTTGACGATTGGTTAGAATTTAGTCCTTGCCCCAAACATTTACTAGTAAACAATTTCATTAATTGAATTTTTTTCTCAAACGACTGTCAACTTCTACTTTATTCTATATGGATTGACAAAGGGTTGTGTGGTTTTCTATTTTCTGTGTTTTGTTTTCAATTGTCAATTGTTTACATTTCTGAAACTAACAGAATATATTCAGGGTGGTGAGGTCTGCAGGGCCAAGGGGACACATTCTCAATCTAGGGCATGGTGTTCTTGTACGGACACCTGAAGAATCCGTTAGACATTTCTTTGAAGTTGCAAGAAGCTTGAATTATGACACATTTCTACAAACACAAACACCGACCGAAGGAATTGGTAGTTTAGTGATATAATTTAATGTGAGACAATTCAGCAATTTTGCTTGACAAGTTGGCTTTTGGTTGTGAGTTCACTTCCAATTATGGAAGCATCATGCTCGATTGCTCTTTACCTCATGTAGTTGAGGGTTCAAAAGAGCTCTAAGGTTCCCAACATGCTTGAGGGTGAGCTTACTTCTCATATTCAATTATTTTTGTAATAATGATAGCTGGGATGAATAAATGAACTTGTTCTTGTTGTACAGCTTTCTTTTGTGCCTGCCTTTTATGATAGCTAGAGGCCTAGAGGGCTCTCACTTATATTGTTGTTTGGGGTATTGCAGAGTCATGTGTTTCTAATCAAAACTTATTCTAATCAATTCCAATTATAACGTTTCCAAGCTAAAGTTGCGTACTTAATCAATTCTCTAGATTTGCATCTATGAAGTATATTTCTTCTGCAACATCTTTCATCTTATAATAGTTACTAGATTTTTAATATTCACATT